CTGTTTTCTGTTCTTTATTCCACCTTAGGACCAGCAGTTAGCTAACAGATTGTTGTGCTACCTGGCTGTCTGCGCTCTACCTTGTATGTCTGTTGGCGGCGGTGCCATTCCACGCTGCGCTCTCCAGCTTCTAGCGGTGAACATTATATAAACTGTTGCATGTTGAAGTGTTAAAGCCGTTTTCTCTGCTAGTGTGGCGGTATATGGAAAAATTCATACCGGAGGGGAAATTACAACCAGTGTACCAGATGAACTGGTATACCACCCAGCACTATTTGTACCTTATCCACGTGACGGACACTAAGACAACTGACTTTTTAAAAACGTAGGTTTGTTGTTTGTTTGCACCTTTGTTCTGGTCAGTTGCTCTACGTTTGCAGCCAGGTCATCAGCCTCCAGCTTGATCTCAGTCTTTTCCTTCTCCAGTTTCTGTTTGGCTCTCTGCAGACCTTCGATCTGCTCGCTGAGCTCCACCACCGTGTCTGAGTGCTTCTTCCTCAGAGTGGCGGCTGTAGCTTCATGGTGAAGCCCCGCCTCCTCCAGCTCCCGCCGCATCTTTTGAAAGTCAGCCTCTCGCTTTCTGTTCAATACGAAATTATGTACAATTTTTAGAAATGGGAAACACTAATCCATTTAGCTACCAACTCTTCTGAACTGTCATTTATTCAAATTTAAATAAAGCAACCATACACCTAATTTTAATTTTAAAAAGCAACTATGGAAAATAACATTTAGTTTCTGGATTGGGCCTAAGTTAGCCTAATTTTAGACAACCTGTTGAGGGCGATTTGAGCAGCCGAGGCTCCTCCTGCCTCCTCCAGCTTCTCTCCCAGCTCCTCCAGCTCCTTGGCCATGTCGTTCCTCTGACGTTCAGCTTTGAGTCGCCACGCCCTCTCTGCCTCCAGCGCCTCCTCCAACTCCTCAATGCGAGTCTGCAGAACAATCAAAGCATGCTGAAGCAGCACCAGCGAGGAGGAAGATCAGTAAGCAGCATAATCCCTGTTCTCAGACCAACCTGAAGCTCCTTCATCCTCTTCTGAAGCTGAGCAGCCACACTCTGCTCATCCTCAATTTTGGCTTGAAACTGATCCAACTCAAAGTCTTTTCTTAAGAAGAGTAAAAGGTGAGAGAATAATGAACATTTTGACCCTAAGTGACTGGCTCTTGAGTCATTGGGTGCATTTGGACCAAGCAGCTCTAAGGACACTCTGCAGGTTATAAGGACCTATGTGTGATATTTCACAGTGTGGTTGCACAACACAGCTGCCAACTTGGCCACAGTAACCCCGATGCAAAAACAAAAAACCTACATCAAATGGTTGTAAGGATTTTGAACCAGTCCTCTGTGGTCCAAAAGCACCTAAATGGTCAATAAACAATCCTTACTTCTTCAGTCTGTCCTCCAGCTCTTCCTTCTGGTTCTCCAAGTCCTTCACTGAATCCATGGACAGCTTCAGATCACCCTCGAGTTTACGTTTAGTTCGATCCAGTTCGCTTCGTGCCCTCTTTTCCTGCTCTAAGGAAGCCTCAGCCTGCACAGAAGAAAGGATCAAAGGAATGTCCTTTCAGAAGCTAGACAATGTCAAACAGTATTTTGAAACTATAGCAAAAATCAAAGGTGTATCCTTTTACGTATAAACATTTGAAAGAAATGTACGTGTCCTAAAGAGCTGTCCAGATTTTATAAGAACTCTTAAAAGGACAAATACCCTATTTTTGGGACCTCCCAAAAATTTGTAGGTTGGGACCAAATGAACAGCCAAGGGGACACTTGTAATCTAGGGGTAGGGGCTCCTTCTAGTATTAAAGGCAGCTTAACTTATTTAACTCTCACACAAAGAGCTCCTAATTTTAGAAGAGAAATATCTTGAAGAATAAAAAAAGTTTATTTGCCTTTGATTCAACTTGAGAGGATTATCCCATTGTGGGTTTAACTGCCTCTTAGAAAACAGACCGCCCTGGAACTGGAAGTTATCATGTTCGATGTTAGAATTAAAGTTTCGAGGGACAATCTTCCTTACATTGTCCACTTGCTGCTCCAGTCGAGCTTTGGCTTTAGCCAGCATGTTGACCTTGTCCTCTTGCGCCTGGAGGTCAATAAGTGCCTGCTGGTGAGCCTCCAACAGGGCCGCTTTCTCTCTGCTCAAAGATGCAATGGATTCATCCAGAACACACATCTCATGTGACAGGTTCTTCACCTGGACAAAAGAAAGAAAGCCTCATAACCTGCACAAGAAGGAAGTGAATGAAACCAGCAGTAAGACGGCTGTGTGGTGCCACACCTTGGTTTCAACACTGTGTCGCTCTTTCTCTACTTTGGCCAGTGTCATCTCCAGGTCGTCAACATCTCTCTTTAGCGATGCCAGCTCGTCCTCCAGCTGACGCTTCTTGGATGTCAAGTTGGCAGTCACCTCCTCTTCATCCTCTAATCGCTCCTGCATCTCCTTCAGCTTTGACTCCAGGGAGATTTTAGACTGAATCAGTTGATTGCAGCGTTCCTCCGCATCCATTAGGTTGTCTTGCTCCTGAATAATTAGGATGAAAAAAATATATACAATACAGTGCAAAAGTTGTGCCCAAAGCTGGGCATGAGTCAGCGGAAGAATGATTCAATTTTGAAGTCATTTGTCAAGTTTTTGCTTAATCTGATTAAATATTTTCATATATATATATATATATACAGTATATGTATATAGATAGGGGCCAGCCTGACTGCTTTAAGTCTAACTTTTGCCTGCAAACAATATTTACACAACCAACTGTGTATTAATTATATGCTAAATAGAGTCGGACCGGTATGGAAATGTTGGCTATCTCTGATACCGATATTGGGAGGGGAAGGCTAATGTCGATAAACTATATATTGTCTGAATTATTTTTGCTTTGTCTACCCCCAAGATTCTAAGTAAACAGCTATTTTTAAACATGTTTTAACACTTGAAGTCTTGAAACAGTTTTCCTAACGTGCGTTCACATTTTCTATCCTCCACTTTTCACTATAAAGTTATCAAATATGTTACAAAAATGTAAATTAAATAAAGAAACACCTTCTCTGTTCATTGTTTCGACAGTCACTTATGGTGAAGGTCTCATTAGTACTGATCGCTGCAGGGTTTATTTATTTTTTAGAGAAGTAAAGATTTCAGACAAACGATGCATTTCACTGAAGACGACAAAGTTAACGTCACTAACACCGATATATTTTACCTCTACGTTAGAGTTATTGTTCTGGATAAAGTTTTACAGGCAATAGCCTATGATAAATGTTAGCTTGCTAATTTGAGGCACGTAGCTAATGACAAGCAGGTTGGAGGATTGAAGAGAAATTATTTTAGTTAATTTTTTGTTTTATTTTACAGATCATTTACAATAAACTTAAACTGCTGTGTTCAGCAAAATGTGCTCCACACTCAGCTCATGCCCAATAATCCAGGTTACAAATCCAACAACGTTTAGTCAGGTCATTTATGGGACTCCAGTTTGTTTGTGGCTTCTCAGACTGAAGAAGTCCTTCGGCTGAAGGACGAAACATCTCAGCAAAAAACGAAACCGTCCAGATGACCTGACTGAACGTTGGTGGATGCTACACAGTATTTAGTTGTTCCCTTCTTCGGCTGTGTGGAGTCAAGTAGCATGGCCATGACTTGAAAGTAGTCCGCATGCACCCTCTGCTGGATACATTGTACAATTACGCCATTTGCAAGTAAGGACACGGCTGGTTCCAGCATTTTGGGGGTGAAAATTAGAAGTGCTTATATGGGAGCATATTGGGACAATTATCACCAGAATATGTCCCCAAACGTCCATATTGGCCTAACATATCGTCCCTACCGATAAACCAGTTGGGCTCTAATGCAAAATGCACATAGTTGTAGAAAATTCAAGGCAATCTCTTTGTGTTCATCATGGGGGAATAAACAGTCTTAACAGCGTCGATGCACAGGCTCTAAATGTAACGAAACGTAGAAACGAAATGCATCACGGCTTCCTAAAATTTAACTCACTGCTTGAAGCTGTAGAGCCAAATCTTTTTTCTCTTGAACCAACACCACCTGCCGCTCCTCGGCCTCCCGCCGCTTCACCTCAGACCTGATGGGCACAAACGCAACCATCAGATACCATTAGAAGTCTGTCTCTGAGCAGCTCGTTTTAATCTGCAGACCAACCTTTCAAAGGCCTCTTTTAACTTGGCAAAGTCCTCTTTCAGCGCAGCCAGTTCCTTCTCCACTTGGGCGCTCTTTAGTAGTGGACGGAGCTTGTAGAACATCATCATCCATGGCCAAGTTCTAACTGAGAAGAATGCCCTGACGTTGAGCTGGATGACCATCAAAGCATCCCTGAAAGGAATAATTCAAACCCACAAAAGCTCAAAAAGACTAGACAGACAAGTCATTATTTAGTTTCATCATTGTTCTACCAACCGATTCTTCTCAACCGCTCAGTTTAGTTTAAGTAGAAAATTACAAACAGCTCACGGTATGTGTATTAAAAAATAAATAGGTGTTGAGATGTCTGAGAAAGAGCGAGATGATCCAGTTTAAAGCTGCTTCTCCACGGACCTGGCTTTAATCAGTTCGCATCGACTCAGCATCGGCCAATTGTGTCTCTGTTGCCTGTTCCTGCCCTGTTATTGGACCCGTCTCAGTCGTGGTTCCAAGCAAGACAAGCCGAGGAAGCGATTTTGACATAAGCAAACTGCAGCCGTTGACCGGCCCGTCACTGGATGAACCAAGGATGAACTTGCAAGCTCCTCCTGAAGCACCATTTTCAATCCGATCATTGCAGAACGTACTTTCCCGAGATAAAGATGGCGAACTGCAAACCTCATGTTTCACATGGACCAATGATGAGGTGCATACAGCGTGAGCTTGATGGAGCCATGAGGAACGAGCAAGTGTACCGAGAGGTGTCTGAAAAACATTCTTCACTTGAATGTATGAACAGTGCTGGGACAAATAAAAATATAAAGAAATCAGGCTGCCGCCCACAGAGTGACGGACACACTCCCAATGGAGACACACCTACACTTGAGTAAAACCCAATATAAAGTAATTAGAGTGGTACTTAAAAATGGAGATGCACCTAAAGATGTGGAGTTAACGCCCCCCAGTACAAGAAACATTAAGGTGGTCTTCAAACCTTTTGTTTTTACCCTCATACTGACCTCTTCAATGTCAAATCCTGTCGTTCGATCCTCATCAGCTTCCCTCGACACATGGCCTGAACAGCGGTGATGATGTGAGACAGGCGATGGTCTCTCATGTCCTCCAGCTGACCCAACAAACCAGCCTTAAAGAAAACCTAAAGCGGAGCAGGTTATATTTCAAAAACAGAATGTTATGCAACCATCAGGCAACCTAAACCAAGACAACGACATTAGTACGGGTTCCCTGTACCTTTGTATGTCCAAACTTGTACTGGGTGTGGTCTACATCAAGAGAGCCCAGGAGCTTCTCTGCAGCCTTCCTGCTGTCCATAAACGAGTCCTCGGGGATGGCAGAAGGGTTTAAGATACGGTAACTGAAACAATAACATGGGTTAATGAAGTTGAGGAGTGTAGTGGGTTGAAGTGAACATTGGACACAACTCAGTTATTTAAGGCGGACAAGTGGAAGATAAAAGATGTATTCAGTAGGCAGGGCGTTGAGGGGGCGGGGCACCCTCCTTGCATAATGGTAGGGGAAACACTGACTTTGAGAGCCTTTTTATGTCTGAAGAGTCGTTGCTTCAGACGACATTAGAAGTCTTCAAGGCATGAACTCCTCTGCAGTAAAACTAAAACAGTCACCGTAGCATTCCTTAAATGTATGTCTCCTGTGGCCTTGCATGTCAAAGATTAAAGCAAAGAGTTTAATCTGTTAGCACTCAGAGAATGTATTAAGAATGACTCTCAGCTGCTACTTTAGTGGAGTTGTTTTGCCCACCCCAAAAGGACTGTAATCAATTTATTAGAAAGTAATCATTAACTATACAGCTGATGGGCTGACTCCAAAGGCTTCACAGCTAATTAATCTGAGCAAACCAAATGTGTTTGTAACTAAATCTGGAGCGGTAGCAGCACTAACACTGGAGGTAAATTCACCCTAACACCACCACGCTAAAGTTCAGCTGTTTTTCATGGTGGCCGGTGAAAATCAGGGGTGGTTGTAGACTTTTGCACAGTAATAAAATGATCACATTTAGAACCCACCGCTGTTTGAACTCGGCGTACAGGAGACGGTTCGGAAAGCCCTTTCGGCAAATCCTGATTCCTTCGAGGACGCCATTACACCTCAGCTGATGGAGGACCAAGAAGGGATCTATCACACCTGGGAACAAAACATTTAGATAGTCCTATTTTTGTGGTGTTTAAAATATATAAAACACATCAGCCAGCGTGCTCATTGAATTGGTTCAGTGCTTCACTCGTTACCTGCTTGTTGAGGCTCACTGTCTCTTTGGGCAAACATGGACAAAACAAATGGTCTCATTTCTAGTTCTTGTGTTCAAATGTTAAAAAAGGTAAACACAGAACTTACCCGTAAACTCTAAAAGTTGGACTGTTGGTTGAAAACAAAACTATGCATAGGAAATAAACTAATTTTTTAATTTTTTTAAATTAGACCTTTATTTTACCAGATGAAATGTTTGAGGACATATGTTTAATTTCTGGACACCTAAATTTTCACAGAAGCTACCTTACGGCAGCAGTGATAAGAATATTAAAGGTAATTATTACCGTACAGTGTCTGGTTGTGATTTATCAGAAATGTTGGATTATTTTACCTGGATTCTTGGTCTCGTTGGGGATTATACAGCGGACAAAGTGAGGCTGAGTGCTGCGGAGGTTCGCCATCAGTTTATTCAGATTTTCCTGCAATTAAACCAAACAATGGTGATTAGCTGAATAATAATGTTGTATTACTTCTTGTACATTGTTTAGAAGCCAGGAAGTTCTGATTCTGGACTCATCTCATTAGAACAAGTTATTTTGACTCAAGTTGTTTACCATCAGTTTTATGATTTACACAGTACTGGGTAAAGTACTATAATCCCTTTAAATTGTATGAGAGTTGACTCAAAGTTATTTAAAGTTCACTTAAGTTACCTACTATACCCTTGTAAATAAAAACAAACAGTGACGTCTAAATTACATTGATGAATTTCAGAAGTGAACGCTCTCTTATACATGTCATAGAAATCAAACACCTTTTTGGCAAATGCCAAGTCTTTCCTATGTTGCAGGAATATGGACCTAATCAAGCCCAATAAAAATGTCAGAACCACTATTTATGTTTTTTTTAAAGACTAGAAAGTTTCACATACCCAAGGCCAGTTTATGATGCCAGGAACGCCTATGGCCTCACCTTGGCCTAACACGTGCACCTGACATTGACTACTCCACTAAGGTTTTTCTCTAAAGACTTTGATAAAACCAACTGTGTACTTCCATGCACTCGGTATTATTAGTTAATCTTTATTTAACCAGGAAAATCCCATTGCTATCACAAATCTCTTTTGCAAGGGAGGCCTGGGCCTGAGACAGCCTAACATGCAGGTTTTGGACTGTGGGAGGAAACTGGAGTACCTGGAGAGAACCCCTCCCAAACATGAGGAGGACATGCAAACTCCACACAGGAAGACCCAAGGTCCGTGTGGGGGATCGATCTAACATAGATCGAAACTAAGACCTGGCTGCGAGGCAACAGTGCTAACCACTGATCTGTTATGCTGCCTGAGCTACTGAGACATCCTCAAGCGTGGCTCCAGGAGGGTATCCTATATATATATATATATAATTTGCCCTGGGAGACCAGGAGCAGAGGGGTACTCAAACCCCTCCACCAGGTTAAGGTGGTGATTCTGGTGAAAATGGAGCTGAGCTGATGGCAAAGCTCAAGATTTATTGGTCTGCCTGTGTTCTAACTCTCACGTGATCATGACAAACGTGTCATGACCAAAAGAACATGACCTGGATCCAAGCTGGTTTCCCCTCCTGGATCCATGGCCTCTGGACTCCATTCAACCTTTATTTAAACAGGTTAGTCCCATTGAGCCTCGGGGACTCATTTAGAGAGAGAGACCTGTTTTTAACAGAGTGATGACAACAGTGGACAATCATAAAAAGCATACAAATTGAGAATAACAAATAAAAGAACATGGTATTAAAAAAACAAAAACAGTTAGGTTCAGTTCAATTCAAATTAAATTCAAAAATACTTTATTAATCCCAAAGGGAAATTATTTGTTGTTGTAACTCATTATCCTCATTTCATTAAGAGACGTTATAGATGCTGATGCTGTAGACAGGAAGGATCTCTTGTAAAGGTCCATCCCACAGTGGATCCTAAGAAACTGGCTGCAGATGCCGTCTGATCCGTCCACCCAGACTCAGCTGGCCTCTCGGTTCCCCCGGGCTGTAGGACCGCCCCAATGCCGAGCAGAACTCCTCCCAGAGCGATGACCACTCCTCCCAGCAGTCTGCCGAGCTCCTCTTCTCTGCGGACAGCCAACTGTAGGTGCTGAGGGACGATCCTGTCCTTCTGCTGTCATGAGCCGTGTTTCCTGCTAGTTCCAGGATCTCAGTGGTCAGGCACCCGAGCACAGCTGGCAGGTAGATGAGAATGCATCCACAGAACATCCTTTTCAACTTGTTTGAGATTTGGGGCTGTAGTTGAGATATTATTTGAGCTTTGAGATGTTAATCAGCTGCTGGTTGTAGAAAACTGCCTTGTTGCCATGGTTACGCATCATAACAAATGTCCAAAACTAAAAAAGTTTCAGTAAAAATCCTTCCAGCTGCACAGCATCTGATACCAGAGGAAACAGTCATCCAAAAACTGTGATTTACATCCAGAAAAAGAGGAATTAAAGTTTCCAAAAGCAAAATCTCAGAATGAAAGGTTGTAACACGATGTAGAATCCTGTCTGCATTGGTTTTTACCAGGATGAGAAAAGGGGTTCAAATGGACCAACCTGATTTATTTAGCTCTCAAAATAAAATTTCTGAACTCTGGTAGAGACTGAAAGAATGAGATCGTGGATCCAGGAGGTTGAAATGAGTTTCCTCTGCAGGGTAGCTGGACTCTCCCTTAGAGACAGGGTGAGAAGTTCAGTTATCAGGAGAGACTCAGAGGAGAACCACTGCTCCTCCACATCCAGAGGAGACAGCTGAGGTGGTTCAAACATCTGCTAAGGAAACTTCCTGGACGCCTACCAAGGAAGGTGCTTTGGACATGTTCGACTGAGAGGAGACCCCAGGGAAGACCCAGGACACACTGGAAACACTACGTCTCTCTGTTGTCCTGGGAACACCTTGGAGTTCTCCCAGAAGAGCTGGAAGAGGCTGTGGAGAGAGATGTCTGGACCTCCCTGCTCAAGATGCTGCCCCGAGACCTGAGTCCAGAACAAGTGGAGGATGATGGATGGATGGAAAATATCATTTCTGGACCTTTGGTACTTTTGAAAGTTTTTTAGCCCACGTTGTTTTGCTGTTTCTGTAAGCGTTGTTTAGATTTTGATCAGCTTTCGTGTTGCGCTGCCACATCTGTCGAACTCACCTTGTGCAACTGTGACACGGTCTGAAAAGACGCAGCTTTCCTCTTCCTGTGTTTGGTCTCACTCTTGTGTCCACTCGCTGAAACAACACAAACAGTTTAGCTCATCTTGTATAGTCGTTGGGAGTTTTACAGCCTGCTCCCTCAGAGGAGACGATTAGTTACCCGTCTCAGCGCAGATGTAATAATCAAACAGCCCAGCCATCAGTTTGCTGGAGGACTTCTGGAAGAGCGCCACCACGGTCTCATTCAGGGGATCTCTGTTCTTGTCCAGCCAGCCTGTGATGTTGTACGGCACCTTCACAACAAGCTTCGTGTTAGATACAGGTGGACTAGTTATTATCATTAGTTTAAAACTGTCTCCAAACAATATTATCATTTATCACAATAATGTCTGAGACAGTTAATCGCCCAACCAAATGTGTTATCGTGACAGGCCTATTACCAGCTTCCTCAACGTTTCCAGGCCAGATGGGGTGCTGCTCCTGCTTTTACTGAGCTAAATGTTTTTTATCTTCATGTGATGGAGGAACATCACTTCATATTTACCAAATTCAGACCCGTTCAAATGTCCCAAACTTCTAAACTAACACTTTAGACTCCATCTAGATGCCTCAGCTTTTAAATGAGCGTTCTTACAATGATCTTTAGTGTTACTACATAAGAAGCCCAAACTTGATGATTGTAATAAGACTTAAAGTAGATCATCCAGACCTTTGAAGCATCTCATGTAAGAGTCTGTAAACTCCTTCTGATCATAAGTAACATCAACTGCTACCCACCACTCCGGCGTAGTGAACCACCTCAAAGTGGGTCTCGTATTTGCGCTTCTTGTCAAGTCGTGGTCTCTGGAAGTTCGGGGACTTTCCCAGGTGGTGGTCGTACAGTTTGGTTTTAAAGCTGTGGTCTGTGGCTTTGGGGAACATGCACTCCTCCTCCATGATGGACAGAATCCCCATTGGCTAAACACAAAGATTCGTTAAGTGTATTTTCAACCACCCTGCATGTTTCCACTCAGTTCACAGATAGGAAGCAAACCCACCCTCTCTATGAGGTTAATGCAGGCCTGCAGGTCCAGACCAAAGTCTATGAAGGTCCACTCTATCCCCTCGGTCTTGTACTCCTCCTGCTCCAGGACGAACATGTGGTGGTTGAAATACTGCTGCAGCTTCTCGTTCGTGAAGTTGATGCACAGCTGCTCGAAGCTGTTTAACTGCAGGAAATGAGAAACTGCAGTTTTAGTTTCATTTTAAAACCAGGGCTATGACATTTATTTATCAGAAACTAAAAGACCTAGAGGCTTGTGTTGGAAACCCCTCTTGTCCCCTTTCGAGGAGCGAAAAGGGGGAATGGAAGTACCCTCCGTCCGTCCATGCATGTTGTGAGCACGGTAACTTTAAAAAATGGCTGCCATGTCCGTACGTCTGTATATATTCAAACTTAGTGAGTTGGATAACTTGAAAAATAAGCAACGTGCCAACTTCCATTTTGGTGTGTTTCTACAGCTAGGCGTAAGAAAGGTCCCAGTAGAAAATTGGGTTGTCACGACAAAATCGTAGCGGGCCACAGTCATACCTGTATGTAAACTGACCACCTCTGTCATTTGAGAAAACTGCTTTCTAGTTTTTATCACTTAAAAGTGTAGTTTTCTCAGAGAAATGGGGTGGCTGCAGATTAATGTGTGGTATTGACGTCCACCAGTGGCCAGCCCTTAGCTCCACCACTGCGCCTGCTGGTGGAGAAAACGTCTCCCTCTTCTCACCAGGATCCGTCACTCTCCTCCGCCTCGGACAAGAAACAACAAAAAACCTTCCTCTGTTCTTCTCCAGAGTAACTCCTACCCTCTTGAATATCCTGCACCAAAAACACATTTAGGTTTACTTCATTCCCTGTTCAATTCCAGTCTTCAAAACTCTAAACAATCACAGTTCAAACCCCTCAGCAACAGGAGACACCGTGCACCGCTTGTTACTTTAAACTTTCATCTGGAACAAATGCTCTTTTAAAAGAGTGTCATTTGAAGACTTTTCCACAAAGCAACTCTGTGCAGTGTATTTTTCTGAACAGGTCATGGTGAGTTGAGTTTAACTGATCTGTAAAACAAATCCACAATAAAGTCTCTTCAATCCTCCAACGTGCTTGTTGTTAGCTACGTACGTGCCTCCCAAGTTAGCTAGCTAAAGTTTAGATAACCTGCCTGTAAAACTTTATCCAGAACAATAAATCTAGCGTAGAGGTCAAATATATCGGTGTTGGTGACGTTATCTTTGTCGTCCTCGATGAAATGCATTGTTGGTCTGAAATCTTTACTTCCCGACAAAGAAAACTAAACTCTGCTGTGATCTAATCAGACCTTCACCAGACGTGACTGACTGTTGGAACAATGAACAGGAAGGCGTTTCTGTTTGATTCTTATTTTTGTAACACGCTTGATAACTTTATGGTGAGTAGTGGAGGATAGAAAATGTGAACGAAGGTTAGGAAGACTGTTCTTGTGACCAGTGCTCCACTTGTAAACCTGCTGTGGGACTACGTACAGCTGGATCTGATTAGCTTAGCTTCATGGTTGCTAACAGCTGCACTTAACCAAGAAGCCCCACTGCACTCGCTGCTTACTCAGATTCTTGGTGGTCGACAAAACTCAAACATTTCTAGCCATTATCGGTAATCGGCGGTCACCTTCCCCTTCCCAGTATCGCTGTCAACAAAAGCCAAAATTTCCATATCGGTCAGGCTCCAGTAAATGAAAGAGTTCCTGGTTTTTTGTCTTTACTTCAAAGATTTCGAATCCGGCGATGTCGAGAACTCCGATGAAGTACTGTCGGGGCAGCGAGGTGTATAAAGACGAGTTGATTCGACCCACGAGCCACTTGAACATACGGTCATAAGTGGCTTTGGCCAAGGCCGCCACGGCGTAGTTGACCTGCGGTCGGGCAGAACAAGGCGAGTTTAGTTTAAAGGTGGCTGGTTGAGATGGTTCACGGTGGTTGACGGACTGGTTACCTGCTCAACTGTCTGCCCTTTAACAATGAACTCATTCCCAACTTTGACTCGAGGGTTCAGCAGGCCTTTCAGCAGCTCTGAGGCACTGATGCCCATCAGGTACGCAGCCTTGTCCACACCTTAACACACAAAACACACGTGCTTCAAACTTTACTGAAGCATTGTAGTTATAAATCTGCTGTTGGAGTTTTTATCAAGCTGAGTCACACATGCATAAAACTTTAGGCTCAAATAAACTCTGTTTACCAGACAACTAGAAGAATTTCAATAGTTTCTCTTTTAGCAGCGTCCTAACACAGACACTCAGCTTGTTCCTGTTTGAATCGTGGTGTGGATCGATTTCAACGTATACCGTGGTGTCAACAAGTCACGTGTCAACAAGTCACGTGTCAACAAGTGTCAACAAGTCATGTGTCAACAAGTCACGTGTCAACAAGTGTCAACACGCATCAACAAGTCACGTGTCAACAAGTCACGGTGTCAACAAGTGTCAACAAGTCACGGTGTCAACAAGTGTCAACAAGTCACGGTGTCAACAAGTCACGTGTCAACAAGTGTCAACAAGTCACGTGTCAACAAATGTCAACAAGTCACGGTGTCAACAAGTCACGTGTCAACAAGTGTCAACAAGTCACGTGTCAACAAGTGTCAACAAGTCACGGTGTCATCAAGTCACGTGTCAACAAGTCGCGTGTCAACAAGTGTCAACAAGTCACGTGTCAACAAGTGTCAACAAGTCACGTGTCAA